AGGAGGTCACTCGTTTCACTCGGCTAGAAAGCATCGTTTCAGCTACAGGCAGCCAGTAGCGCCTAGCATGTGAAAGTGTGAGATTTAGAAGCGTAAGACAAACGCAGACCCACACCTACTGCATTTCTGAAAAGTTGCTGCTTCCATACTGAAGTTCAGATGACCAGCTGCCCAGAGGTGATTTTCGCGAGAAACTCAGAGAATGAACCAATCGAAGATTTGGGCATGGATGAGAGGGTCACATGCAGGCGATCACATTTGTTGCAGGAGATAGGAACCGATGCCCAATCATAGAGTCACATTTAGTTGGATGCAGAGAACAGCATAACATGGAGATGCCTTATTCTACTTGGAATCCAACGCGACAATAATATACACCAGTTTACATATGAACACGTATATGGACATTATATCTTCTCATTTCAATAAATCATTAGAAAAAGCAATTAGTAATGGGATGTATGATAAAGTCAGTAATTTTCTAAGCTGGAGAAATATTTAAGCAGTGAAGAAAATAATGAAAACCAAACACATATTGAATATGACTCAAATGAAAGTTACGCACATAATACAAGGACAGCAAGAGGTACAGTGATTTCATCACGAGTGTAGATTCGAAGTACAGTGAGTGGAAATGTATGAACTTCTGAAGGGTTTGTTCACATTGCAATATCAGTATTGAATTGACAAATAATCGAAAAGCTATAATGCTGATACAGAAGTGATTCTTTGTGAAAGCTGCCTAACAACAAGGCATTGATAATTAGATTTTCAATCTACGATACATAAAACAGGGTTTCATTGATGGCGTTAACGAATGAAGAAGACTACCTGTCTGAGAAAAGTGAAAGTTTACACAGCATCACCCGATATGACTAGCTGGATTGACCTGAAAAGCGAAGGCAAACATCGAGAGGCATTCTCCAATGAACTCAGATTTATTTGGACTTGCTCATCACTCATGTATGCACAGTGCTAACGGCATGCGAAGACACGTAAATGACAGCTATCCTGTGCATAATTTGTTTCAATTACCATGACATCTGTCAATGGTTGTTGTTCAAAGGAGAATAATAGCTCAGGGAAATGTTGTTTGTGTACACGATTCATCACTAGTTAGAGATTTCAGTAAGATTAGAAAAGTAATACATGTCTAACAAATGTCTGACATCTGGTCACATACAATCCTTATTCACGAACTGTCGTATTCAGGAAAAGACAAATTCAATCAGCCAATGCATAAAGTATATTTTACTATCCATGGCTGAAATGAGGCGTCTATTGATCAAAGCGAATTCCGGAACGTGTTGAACCGCCAATTTTATGGAGCAGATATGTGAGTTGATATCTATTTGTACAATCTGTAGAAAACTTCGTTGGAGTCTGCGATTTGAATAATGAAGTTGTCTTCCATATTTGCAGAGATACTCTATTTTCTGTATGTGATGACATTCAGGAAGCGGAAATTCTCATTACTACGGAGTTCAATGGTGCCCATTCAAATATCAAGTTCTCAATGAAACACGAAGTCAAAATTCAGCCACGCATTCTTGAGTTGTGGAAGAAAACGAGATGTAATCTACAGAAACATGAACAGCTTTTGTCGTGTAATTTTCTGGAAAGGTGTGGTCGTGACCCTACACTTAGATGCTGGTCAGCTCTTCTCTGGAAAACTGAAATTGATTTCAACAGTTAAAACCGAGGGAACAGTGTATGCGAGAAACGATTATTTAGCAAATTCATTCACAGTTACAATAGACTGTGTTATAAAGAAAACACCGTTGACAGCTAAAATGATAAATTCATCGCCATAATTTGCAATAAGTAGAAGAGAAAAGCGTCAGTGATTTTCCGAGTCACATATTGTGTTGTAAATTCTACACTTGACATCTTATATGAAGCACAGAATAATGCAATGCAGTGAGATACAAGCACGCTGTTTCATGGAATATAGTTATAACCATGGAATTGAGCAAGGAAAATTATCGACAGAATGTGATTAGGACAGTGGGACTTATCACTCTTAATCAATTTTATTTTACAACGTGAAATACAAAGTTGTCATATTTCACACAATTTCAACTAACTTTTTGTATTCCATTTGCATAATAATCACGCAATCACACACCATTTATACAGTCTATGTAGTCGCTAATGTAGTTCGCTACATTATTCGGTACGTTACTGCACACTGAACTACGACCATAACTTCAAAGAGATATGAATCTGAATTGCAATCTGTTATTATTACCATCTCAGTATACATGCGTTTGCTTGAATTCACTCAGTGGATATGATTTCTTTGGAAACCACATCCTATCTGAATGCAGAGCTTGATAACAAAAAGATATTTGAAAGAATTCTATCTACTGGAACACTTGGTTTTAGATTTATTCTAAGTGAACGAATTCACATTATTTTCATCGGGTCAACGTTGTGCAGTGAGTTTGTAGCGAAATCGAATCGGATGTCGCAGAGAATTGACGATAAACAAGACACCTTGTTGTGTCTCGTTGTGAAGTGTGTCTGTTCATTTGATTTGTGATTGGATATTGAGCATGACTAGTGTAGAGGTGCGATGTGCTTGCGGTTGAGCCTAGTAGATGAAGGTATTGATTTGTTCATGTTAACAGTCGGAAGGGTGTTGGCTGATATTCCACTTCCGTCATCTGATTTTAACGTACACCGATAAGATTATCGCAATGACGATAATAGAAATCTACGAAGTGTAGGATAACCTGAGGAAAGGTCTTTGCTTTCATTTCCTTTGCGCTACACAAGCTTCTTCTACTCAGTTGGAAAACCCTGATCTATGCATACGAATCGAATTTATTCGACCACTCCAACTTTCATGGAATAAACTTGTTGCTTAGCATCAACCTGATTCTCGTGTCTTTGTCGGTTAGTTCGCTCTTCTACCTCTTGTGTTTCTTGACAACTCACTCTCTCATCATTCCATAATCGTCTTCTATTTGCATCAAATTATTCATCATAACTTAAATACACTTGACCAGCCGCTCCAAGGCATTCACCACCGAGGACAAATATAATTGTGACAGCTGATCACTTCTGTTGATATCCACTGCTCACTGAAATCAATCATTCACTGACTATCTCAGAATTCCAGAACACTTCATATTTGTCATTCACACGGAAGCAGTTTATGAATATAAGTTTATTCGAAACGATCTCATCTACAGTAAGAGGAAGAAGAAGAGGATAATTCTATTCGGTTTCACAAACATCAGAGCAGAGCATTTCAATAAGCACAGTTGAAAGTAGTTTTCAGTTACACAACAATTATTATTGCCAACTCCGTCATTTTCTTGTCAGTTCCAATAGTGTTTTGCACGAGCATAGTCTATAGGCTCATGTTCTCAAGTGAATCAGGCAACGTCATCCCACTTCTACACCTCCTGGAGGAATGAAAGAAAGACGACAACCAAGTGATGAGTACACAGCGAAATCAGTTTGGATAAATCCAATGTTCAAAAATGGATGCATAACAAGTAAAGTGACATTTCAAGAATCAGAGGCAATTGTATTTGTGGCTGTAGATATAGTGTCAATCGCAGTGATTTCCGTCATGCACAGAAGTGAATATGCCTGGGACAGAGAAAAACATGTCGCTGAAGAAATGACATCAAAAGAAAGGAGATGGCTTGGATTTGTGCAGTGGACACCGGTGAGTGAAATAAAGTGCGAGGGTACCACCGATTGTTGCTTCCATGTGCCTTGGTGAGTTGGATGACAGTTAGTGAGGTTGAGGATATCGAGTTTTTAGGTGTGTGCGTGTTTGGTGTAGATGAGAACCTATGGACAATCTTGGAGCCAATCGAAGAGGACTTTGCGATTTAGTTACTGCCTGGAAACGTTCTCGATTTCTTCTCTGACATACGGCTCTTCACACGAAAGTCATGCTGAATATCGTATGATTCAGGTGACACATTTTCCTGTCCACTCCAGCATGGAGTTTGTTCTTCTCTCACACTCTTCTCGAGTATTCATGTGCGTATTGACATTTATGGCAGTTAGCCTAGTTAAAGATTGCACACCACCAATCCCACTTACAGCCTGCGGTGTTCAGCGTGATTTCACTAAGTCTGATTTTTAAGTGACCATCGAAGAATAAGTGGGGCGAATAATGAAGAAAAATGGGCGGAATATATGAATTCATATACTTGTAAGAGAAGAGGTTGAGTCAGACAAGCAGACGTCTCAATCGCTCCATGGAATACGTTAAACGAAATATTTACCTAGAAATCCACACGATATGAGATGACCTCCATATATTCGAAGAGAAGAAGGAGCGGACATATGAGATATTTGATTTACTCCCCTACACAGTGCCGTCAATAATATAAGGATCAGTCTGTGCATGTCCTGTTCACTGCAGAAATCAACAAACTTGTTGACGTGAGGATGGATTTTATTTTAGACCATGCTGTGGGAGACTATTTATTAACTGCAGGAAATGATATATATATATATATATACGAGAAGAATGCAATGCAGAAGCTACTGGGACGGAGGTCGTCAGATCATCGTCCTGGGTGAATATAGAAGGGCATGCAAAACAAAGAGAGAAATCGAGAATGTACAGCACTTCGAGGCATATCAGTATCCGTTGGCAGCGCATTTGGGTGTTGTTGACTAAAAGCAATAATTTGTTTTCTACCGTATATACTGAGCTCTGCAGAAGCAAGTGAATACACAAATACCTATCGCACCTATTTCGAACACTACTGCTCTTGTTGTTATATTAATATTATTATCACCCATTGTCTAAGTTTTTTTTTAAGCCAACTACATGAGGTATGCAGCCATCGAATGTTACACCACGGAACAACAACGACACAAACAGCCACAGTTTTCTATAGAACAGAAGGCTCTTGAGAATTAGGTGAGCATATTTGTGGTAGCATTATCAAGTAATTTAGATGTAATTGGCATTCAACAATTTCAGAAAACGCAGAATTCAAAAGTAAAAGAAGACTCACAGTAAACCTTGACGAAATCCTCCTTTCATTTCTATCTCACTGAAGGTTGGTGGTCTCAAGTCAACTCTCCATATACAGTCGCCATTCGCAACTGTCACATTTAAACCATCATTCAAATAAAATCGAATCGTCCCGATTCGGACATTCATTACTCCTTGAAATAAAATAAACAAACAGGCATTTTAATGGTTAGTAGGAAAGATTGGAAAGCTCTACAAATCTCAACCTTGTTCGTGATGGAAATGAACTGATAATGGTACGTACAATTATCAGTTGAGTTTTGATGTTCATTTGGCAGGGATCAGGAATGCTAGTTTGTAAGTCCATTGTAAGCCCATCTAATGCCAGAAGTAGACAGTCAGCCCTTTGATATACAATGAATATTTAAACATGAAAGTCGGTGTAAATACGGATGGGGCTCTAATACATTGATTGAGTTAGATTGTTTTCAGTTCATACAAAAAAACCACGAGTTGATTCTATGATTAATATGCTTCGGCTGTATACAACCAGAGATACAAGACTAAACAATCAAAATCAAAAGGAACAATAAGGCACTACTCTAATCCTACAACCTCCACAACTTTTGTATTATCCGACTACATTTCCGTTTGAATATTTGTCGAACAATAGGCTCATCGTTGGTTTGTTGAAACAGCCGTTGTTCAAAACCTCAATCTTCTCCCTATTCTCAGGTGGAGTGCAGATGAATTCCACACTGATTTCGGAGTTGGCGTGAATATAAATCTCGCCTTCCCAAATCTGGTTTTCTCATTCTCATCAATCCAAACCGCCTGTACTTGAAAGGAAGTGACGTCTCTGAAATTTATCGCACAGAAAAATATTAGTGCTTGTTGTTGTCGTTAGTGTGTTGACTGTTTTCCTTACTTCCATATTCTGCATCTTTACTTGAAGTCCTGTATTCCCTATCTGCTTCTCTCACGTGCTTGTTGGTTTTCGCCTGTCAGCCTTCGAGTTGTCTGGCATCAGACACATAACATAGTCGAGCGAATTCAACATTTTCTCCAGTTTTCTGACTGGTACAGCCTATTCCTGTCTTCTCGCTCTCCACATCTTAAATTCACGCAAACTCCTGTGACGCAAAATCCTTGACAATTATGAATACCATCGCTGAAAGCAGTCAGTTTGTGCCGTCCTCCTGCTGCATTCATATCAAAGGCGAGCTGAGCTCAGCTCAGTTCCCTACTGTTGATCGCTGAACGTCTGACCACTATACCTAATAAAGTCAAACGTTATCCGGATACGTGATATGGATCATAAAGTGACATTGACTGGAGAACCTTAAGAAAACGAGAATGACGTGACAAACAGTTGGTCCAAGTCTGATGCTCTCGAGCAATGTCCACTCACCAAAAAATGACAAATGGAACCAGAAACGTCCAAGTGAGGGAATGTTCACAGAGACCTTTCACTCACTAGGACGAAATTCAGTGCCATATGGATTCTCACTTAGACTGTACCACAATATAAAGCGCCGCTGTTATTTAATCTCATCATCGCTTAGTATATGTTCTCACAGTTGTCATCAATTCTCACTGGAATTTCAGATAGCTTCATACTTCAGTCAGTCAAACATTCATTGGTGAGAAGTATCCAGATTTCGAAGAAGTGATTTTTCAGGTGGCAGGTTGATGGATGAAATCATATTTACTTCAGGCATTTGCACACAGAAGAAATTTTAATTACCTGAGCCAACTGTCATCGGATACCACATTTCCTCTGATTCAACGTTTTCAAAATTGACTATGCACAGACTGACAAGTATGATGAAGTTCAGTTTTGTCCCCTGAGACACCATTTTACTAAAAATATTCAAGAAAGTGGAAAGAATGACATTTTAATTCGATGTAATTTGAAATGAATGACAGTGAGTGAAACATAGATATTCGAAAGCTAAAGGGTTCCTTCAATGAACAGACAGAGCTACAAATTACAAAGATATCAATCAGAGAACTGTATTTGTCACTTGGTCCGTGCGGTTCAACAATCGCACGGGAATTTTCACATTACTTGAGTTATGTTTACTTCGAGGTCTACTCTGCCAAATACTAGATATGAATAATTGTAAAACTTGAATGGTCCTGTCTGGATGCCTGGACAAGTGATGAAAGAGTGACTCTCCAGTCACAATCACTGCAACATCCATACATATATGTCATGTTTTGGTAACGCGAATGTGAATATTTCTCAAGCGGCAATTACACATTACATAGTAAATAATGGAAACAGTTTTACCACAGGAACTCACCTGTGATTTGTGATGAATGGTCAGTCAATAACTAACTTGATACTGATAGAATATTTTGTTGGACTATTTATACCACCGACAAATGCCTCTGTTTATTTCATTGGTCACTCTCAACAACCTTGTGTGCATGTTTGCGTGATTTTCCTGTTAGCATTCTGTTATAATCGGATTTACCGGATTAGAGAAACGTCATAAATACGAAACTGTGATGGAAACAAAATCGTGTGTGTAGGTCACAGCTCATATTGCTGTTTCTCTCTGTGGCCGATATACGTGATATACGTTAGTAACTGTATAATACACAGACATATCTATTATTTCACATCAACTAAATGTTATAGAAAGTAATCTGGTGGGTACTAACTGCCGTAGAAAAAACGATGTCACACTCGGCGTCGTCGCTCTCGTGCCCTTCTTGCCCTAGTGCATCTCACTTTGATGTTTGAAACCATGAGTACTGAAATTAGGCCGCATTAAGGACAGCATCACAAACTGGCATAACCTGAGGATATTTATGTGTGCAACGCGAAATCCATTACACGACTAGTCACTATCAATCAAAATTACTTCACTTTCATCGTCAGACTTCGACGAAGCGTCCATACTGAAAAGCACAAACATGTCAGCGGAGGCTGATCGCTTCGGTCCACTCAGTTGATGGGAAAATCAGCGGCTTCGAAAACTAACAGGGAGTGCTGCACAGTTGTGACTGAATAGTTAAAGGCTCAGTGGAAGTACGTGTGTACCAATTATATCTCAATGGTAATGGATCATTCATTCAGATTTCACGGTATAAACCGCGGTGTTGGTTCTGCACGTCCGTTTAGTCTAAAATAGTCTGAAGAAGCAGCTCTCCCTGTTTCTTGGATTTTTCTTCATTGATCTCAATTTCATTTTACACCGTGGTCCCACTTCAATTAGAGATCAAACCGTATACCATTTGGTCTAAATGACATCAAAATTGATCAAATGACAACTGATAATTATGAGGTCATCCATTTTGTGGTACGTGTGTGTGACACAAAGTGACCAATTCGAATGTAATCTAGTAAAACTTGTCTCTCCTTCCATCAAATATCGGTTGACCGTTGTCTGATCTGTAGGCTGATATGCCTTCGGCTAATGCATTGCACGAGCGCGTTTGTAACTCAGACATTAGGCGAAATGCCAGACGGTCTACGGTCTGAGTGTTTCGAATGCATTGTCAATATTACGCCAATTAACCGAGTGAAGGTGTTCTTGCTCTGTTACTTCCCAGAATTCAGACAATGTATCCAATTCAGTGCTACAGAAAATGGATTGTGAGCACGAACAATTGAATGGTCACCTTTCTGACTGCAGCATTGATGTTTTAAATCAGAATCTCTTTGTTCACACTGAGGTGGAGTGCAGACGAATCGCAAAGTCATTTTGAAAATGTGAGTGACTTCCTCGCCTTTCTGATTCTGGATGATTTGGACACCATCTGTTGTGCTTGTGCATACTAAAGAGAATTCTGAAATTGTGCTTCATAGGAAAGCGAAATGGGTGACATACTCCAGACTTCAGATGACAGTAATCAGCTTGCTGAATTTTCTAGTTCGCTTCCCTTCTAGGCGATCGAAATCCTTGGTAAAGAAAGAAAGAGAGGTTTGTCGATGGAGACTTAACCCGCGAAAACCAATAAGGCTACCAGAGTATTGTCAACGCACTAGCGGTGACAGGAAACGAACATGATAAAACTTTCCGTTTTGTCGCAGAACAAGTTTAATTGGTAATCTGAGTCTTCGAGGTTACTGAATTTTCTTGTTTTTATAAAAACACCCATACTCCCAGTAGGAAAATATGCAGATGTTTATCAATTGAGACAAGATATTTCAACGTTCGTATATTTGAATTGAACGTGTAAGTTACAGATAGACAAGAATGAACTTTGAAAAGTATTTAAATAACTCGCTTCAAAGAATCAAGAAGTAGATGAGACGGTGGCATAATACAAAGTCAAACGAGAGACTGTGTTCTTTTCCTATCGGTGTCAGTAAACTTGTCTCGCTCATCACCTTTCCCAAATACCCTTCTTTTTGCAAAATCAAAGTAATTTTGTCACGAACTCGAGCACTGTGAATGAGGGGTGGAAAGGCGTGTGGATAGCGACTGCGGAATACTCGTTGGATGCTGATCACTTTGAGTGAACGGTAAGTGAAATTTGCAAGTTAATTGTACCCTGTTTGACAAAGTGAATTTCACCATAATTTGTTCTGGAAGCCAAAATTCCTCAAAATGTTATCTGTGATCTGTTAAATAAAATGAATAGTAATGAATAGCATATGTTCATGACACCTTATTACTATGAGTGACTATGAGTGAGATGGATATAGGAATGCAACACACACGTACACACATCAACCAGTACTGCTTGCCAGTTAGCCGCCAAGTCTGAAGTGATGTCACCAAGCAGAGGTCATTTTGATATTCAGGTGAATTTCTCAGATTGAACAACTCAGTTTCCAGATTACTTAGCTCTCTGAGCTGAGAAAACAGGGTGCACAAGTGAGTGATAAACTGAGATCCGAAGGAGTGAAATTTCCATCTGGCCATTGGATCACTTCGATCATGCTGGCCAGTGAGCCAGCCATCCAGAAGGCAAGGATCTATTTTAGGCAACCATTCATCTCAACAAATAAGTAGTATGAAGCGTCATGGTTTACTGCAAAACACTGTCTATAGATGATGTTTATAATAGTGTACACATAATGGAAAAGATTATTGAAACACACCACTACCAATTAACTCATGGACAAATGTCATGGTGGAAATTATTTCACGATTGTTCAGTCGGTGACAAAGTTATGTGAAATTCTAAATGGTTTACAATCCGAGAAGTTCACCTGAATATCGAAATGACCTCTGCTTGGTGACATCGCTGAAGTCTTCATGGACAGCCGACAAGCACTACTGGTTGATGCGTGGACTTGTGGGTGTATATGTCATTCAACTATCCATCACACCACGGTTTGTGCCGTAGAATTACTGGTCACATTGAACGTTTCCTTGTAGACCATTCAGCCAGTGAAATCTGAATGAATGATCCATTACCAATGACATATAATTGGTACACACGTACTTCCACTGAGCCTTTAACTATTCAGTCACAACTGTGCAGCACTCCCTGTTAGTTTTCGAAGCCGCTGATTTTCCCGTCAACTGAGTGGACCGAAGCGATCAGCCTCCGCTGACATGTTTGTGCTTTTCAGTATGGACGCTTCGTCGAAGTCTGACGATGAAAGTGAAGTAATTTTGATTGATAGTGACTAGTCGTGTAATGGATTTCGCGTTGCACACATAAATATCCTCAGGTTATGCCAGTTTGTGATGCTGTCCTTAATGCGGCCTAATTTCAGTACTCATCGTTTCAAACATCAAAGTGAGATGCACTAGGACAAGAAGGTCACGAGAGCCACAACGCCGAGTGTGATATCGTTTTTTTTACGGCAGTTAGTACCCACCAGATTACTTTCTATAACATTTAGTTGATGTGAAATAATAGATATGTCTGTGTATTATACAGTTACTAACGTATATCACGTATATCGGCCACAGAGAGAAACAGCAATATGAGCTGTGACCTACACACACGATTTGTTTCCATCACAGTTTCGTATTTATGACTTTTCTCTAATCCGGTAAATCCGATTATAACAGAATGCTAACAGGAAAATCACGCAAACATGCACACAAGGTTGTTGAGAGTGACCAATGAAATAAACAGAGGCATTTGTCGGTGGTATAAATAGTCCAACAAAATATTCTATCAGTATCAAGTTAGTTATTGACTGACCATTCATCACAAATCACAGGTGAGTTCCTGTGGTAAAACTGTTTCCATTATTTACTATGTAATGTGTAATTGCCGCTTGAGAAATATTCACATTCGCGTTAACAAAACATGACATATATGTATGGATGTTGCAGTGATTGTGACTGGAGAGTCACTCTTTCACTTGTCCAGGCATCCAGACAGGACCATTCAAGTTTTACAATTATTCATATCTAGTATTTGGCAGAGTAGACCTCGAAGTAAACATAACTCAATTAATGTGAAAATTCCCGTGCGATTGTTGAACCGCACGGACCAAGTGACAAATACAGTTCTCTGATTGATATCTTTGTAATTTGTAGCTCTGTCTGTTCATTGAAGGAACCCTTTAGCTAAATCTGTTAAGCGATTTTTATTGATAAAGTTTGCAATTCATGAGAGTTTGTAGAATATAATCTGACGGATTTGTTTAGCAGTGCTTCTCTAGAAACGTCAGTCGAATGTCTTATCACTGAATATTCCTTCTTCATTGTCCAATCACTACATCAAAAATACAACGAATCCACGGAAATTCGTGAGTAATCACTTACAGAGACACGGTCGTTTCCCTCAACTGAGATCAACCAACTTACATCGCTTAAGTGCCATCGGAATTATTAGTGACGAGATATGACTCGGTCTCACTATGATATGATGGAGTTCACATATTACGCTGTGAACAATGTTTGTTTCAAAATGGAACTGTTGTTCAATTTCACCCGTCATACTCTCGGGATTTCAGAATCGGACAAATAATTCGCATACTTCTTTACAAATATTCACTCAGAGCAATCGATGTTCACCATATTATAATCAAGAATGCTATTCATGCATATATCAATATTGAAGTTAATTCTTGCACGTCAGGTAATCGCTAAAGTGACAGCTGAATTGTGAACGACAAGATGTGAGTGACTTTCATTATGATATGATGGAGATGATGTGGGCTGGATGAGATGAGGTAGTATGCACAGTCGTGCTGTTACACTGTAGAGGATATGGGATAAGTGAAAATTGTGAGATATGCTTTCGAATATCTATGTTTCACTCACTGTCATTCATTTCAAATTACATCGAATCAAAATGTCATTCTTTCCACTTTCTTGAATATGTTTAGTAAAATGGTGTCTCAGGGGACAAAACTGAACTTCATCATACTTGTCAGTCTGTGCAT